TATAAGTCGAACATAGAAATATGAAGTATAAAAAATAAAAATAATATGGTAATGGTTAAAATGTTAAAATCAGCTTTTATAAAATAATTTTTAGTCTAGTTACAAAATGAGATTCCCTGTGATACTATGATACTAACCTTAAGCTATCTAATTGAGTGGTATGATTAACAATGTCATCAACCCAAAGTGAAATTTTTTCTGGAGGATCAGGGAAAACAATAGTGGACTCTGAATTTGCAAAATCATCTGGATGGACTTGAATTTCTACATGTTTGCTTCGTTTCTATCGAATTTGATATTAGCATGATAGATTAACTAAACTTAAACTCATCTTCAAAGCATTACTTTACAACGCACATCAATATCTTATTAACGCTAAAAAAAGTATTGCTCAAAAAAATCACTAAGTCCAATAAAACTACAACTATTAGTATGGAAAGATATGACATAAAAACATTTTCTAGTTATCTGTAAGAATTTCTTTCATGATACTCCTTATAAATGTCATGAATACGATATAGTCATCCGTTTCTACTGTGTATGTACGAGTATGTAAGGATTTGTTGTTTATTAGTGTGTTATGAGCCAAGATGTTTTTGTTAAATAAGAATATTTTAAGATTATTAGCCTACCTTGCGGAATATTGATGGTATCCAAGTTTGTCGATCTTCAGGGTTGATTTCCGATTCTCCTGGTTCATCCTCATCAGGAATATACAAACCTTTATGGTAATTAACAGCCCAAGGAGCCGTCATGTTGTATTAGAGCGATTTAAGTATAATACCTTGAAGAAATGTTAAGTTTCAAAAGATCAGTCAACCGAAAGTATAGACGGCAGTATCGTACTTTATGATATAGCTCGATTCTATGATGGTAAGCTTTGCGGATGATAATCTGTACGTAACAATGATTGCATTACCTTATTAGAGAAAATATGATATGACACGAGAAACACCTTATGGAAATTTTAATTCACACAATTTTTGTTAAAGTAAATAAATTTTGTTAGCCAGAATTCTTAAAATACGACGATATAGGCAGGTTACAGGAATATTGGATTGTGGCTACGGTGGTTGAATATCATTTGCACGAAATGATTACGTATGAGTGAAAAATGTGCATTTTAAAAGAGAATGATTCGGTGCTAATAATTCTGTCATGATTCTCTTATTAAAATTTATATTTAAAAAGGCACAAGTAAGAGGTTTAATAAAGGTCTTAAAAATGAAAATGAATCAAACGTAACGTAAAAAGTAACACCTTTCAATAATGTAATTCTGAGTATAGTTCTGGTAGTTAACTTGTTTAGGCAAGGGTCTACTTGTAATCAGGGCATCATTTTGAAACAAAAATGATTGTGAATGTGTAGACCAATTTCGAGAAAAATTTCTTCATGTTTTCTAACTTACTGTGCCCATGTTTGCTAAAAAGAATTACATAGTGTACATGAAAAATTTATGAGTCAAGGCGAAGACCAATCAGTTTAAAATGCGAATTAGAGTAAAGAAAGTGAGATAAGATTAAGAAACTTTTTCTTAGTTTTAGTTGCCGGTGCTTTATTGTTAGGTAAAAATTTCGTCCATAGAGTACTTGTTCGTATGTTAGAACACCCTAAAATATGCCTTTTTGGGATGAGAATGTCTGTAAAAATTGCAATTATGAGAAATTCTTTCGTATTTTTTTAGCTAAGGTATATGTTCACTCGTACTTGAACAGTATCATATACTCTTACAAAGGATTGGGTACAGTAGTTATGATTTAATTTATTTAGTTTACTTCTACGCAATCCTAGAACCGCCAATTTGATAAAATAGATTTAGGACTTGTAGGTGTGTACCAGCGTAAGAATTAAAGTGAATTTAGTTCAGTTTGGTAGTTGTTAAAATTACAAGAGTCTGCTACAGTCGCTACTCATTACCATAGATAAATAATCATTTTACCTAAACTACACAGGCATAGTCGTGTTAACAGAAAAATGATTTGATGGATCCAGTTTAAAATTTTGTTTTTCAAGTAAAATTAGTGCAATTAAAAGGAATAAAATTTTTTTAATTTTATTATTCTTAAGATACGCCACTTTATATTCAACTACTTGACTCCATCAAATTGGTCGGATAACCATTTTATATAATTTTAACTGAATGATTGAAAAAACTATGTACGAAGCATAAGCTCACGCTGAAAACTCTGGAATTTTTTCATTATTTTTTAATATTAACTAAAGCAAATAACTCATTATTACATCGTCTTTAAAGATATGTTAGCAAGTAAACATTACGTATTTAAAGTCTTGTTAGTGGCATATCTTTCATTATATTACCTTCCTATAATATTTTTCCTGTCGTTTTATTCTGTAAATCAAAAATGGCGCTTGAGATTTAGCTAAGGAAAAAATCTTGACGTATTAAGGGCACTAAATTAGAACATGAGAGGAAAATCAACAGGTTGTAATACACAGTAGAAAAGGCAGCGCAATGATGCAGTGTTTATTTAATTGAAGTAAAAATTTTATACTAAGGGTAATGTCTGGCTTTATTTTAGTACAATGGAGATTAACTATGGCTGTACCGGAGGCAACGACGACAGCATGATATAGTATTGTGATGTGGAGTTAACCTTCCTGGCTCTTTCTTCTGCTATTATGACGTAAGAAATAGTTGAATGTATAGTTTTTGAAAAGAAAGCTGTAGAGGTAGACATTGTAAACAGTCGCGGGCGCATCTAATTTGCGAAAAACTGAATATGCATTCATCAAGCATGATGAATAAACGTAATAATGGACCCAAGGGATATTCACTTGCATTGTAAAATGGAATTCCTTGTAGATTTGCTTCTTTGCACGTATTGTTATGTTATGAAGTTACGATTAGCTATTTACTATGGCACGATAAATTGAAGTTGATCGCTTGTCTGAAATACATCACGTCATAGGACTATTTTGCAAGCTAAATTCCCAAAAAATATTTAGTCACGATGCGGTTCGTTAGTAACGAGAGAGTAATGCTGATATGGAATTATTCAATCATTTGAAACGAGTTCTTATTCTCTTTATTTTCATACAGTATACTCGTAAGTTATTTATTTGCAACTTTCATCACTCACGTTGTATCTACTTTATAACAAAAAGTCCGCAATGACTAGAGCACAAGCATATTGAAGAAATCTTTTTGCAATTATTTCCTTGTTTTCTACAACTAAGTGTGCTATTACTAGCTAGGTTTATTGGTGCTTAAGTTTAAGGAATAATATGGCTTGAAAATAAGCGCGTACTTTTTATGCTGTATTTCCGTAAATTGTAGCAAGGGCATTAGCTCAACTCTAGAATATCATAAAATAACTTACGAACATTAAAATCTACACTTCAATTAAAGAATAAAGAAAGTAGGAGATTTTAATAGTCACGCTGCCAACAATTTTTGTAATCTGGTATGTGAATACTAGATATCACTCTCCAACCAACTATTAATGAGGGATCATTAACCTGATTAATACTCACAGATACATTATATTGAAGTACCACTTAAGATTTGCAAATGGTTAAATTTTTACCCAGTTTAATTGATAGGATTGTACTGCACTATAAACTAGGGCTAATAGACTACGATTCATTCAGTAGTCCAGTATTGTAGCCGCGTCCCTATGTCGTAATGTGCAATAGGTCATGTCATAACTTGGTAAAACACTTTAAGAAAATTACCATTAACCTCGAACATAATGCATATGACATATGGGCATTCAACTACACCAGCCTATGAAAAGTTCTTAGAATACTTAGCTGATGTTGTCGAGGGGTTTCGATTGTACAATTGTACATCTACGTGTATGTGCTGAAAAATAACAGAAAGCTAATCTTTCTATCCTTCTTTTTAATCCATAAAAATGCAGAGATCAGACGACGTAGTTGTTTCAATGGGTTTCCCAATGTTAACGCTCATCTTACAAGCAGGGACTTCTAAGAGAAAATTACAAGTCCCTGGTACAAGTCTAGACCTTGTGCGAGTTGGCATAGGTAGTGGAAAGTACAGTATTAATTAAGCTAGATGATGGATCAAAACACTACCGCTGTAGAATAGTTGAAATAGCATTAAATCTGATTCGTTTTTCAGTTTATTAACTGTAAATTCAAGAGCAATTTACAGAAGATGATAAATTAGCGTGTAGTATACCATAATCTATTAATATAGGAGTCTATAAGTGTAAGTACGCGTATGTTGATAAATTTCTTTTAAAATTTCCAAGTTGGAGACACACTCTAGTTTCCATAGAGATGTCTACGTACGATATCATACTGTAGTAGCAGTATAATATGGTCGTCATAGTGTACATAGTACACTAAAGTACATACTGTATTTGTACAAAACTGGGGTACCACCACTACAGCATATTATGTCTTTACTCTTTGCCATCAAGGAATCACCACGGCAACGGATGGCAGGCACACTTGGTTAAAAGGCTTTTTATACTGTATCTATGATATCAACTTGAGTAGAATTTAAGTGATTCCTGTAATAAGACTAAAACCCTATCCTCAGGCTGAAAGATTATCCAATTATCTACTGTAATACTACTATTGATGGTCATCAATATTATCTTCCTTATTTCAACTGCTTTAGCTTGTGATTTTGCAGTTGAAATGCCCATGCATCCTTCTATACTGTACACTAAGCTATAGTACAGTACAGTATGTATGGCACAGAATGTCAATAATAAAAGTTTAAAATAACTGTTTTGGCGCAATAATTAAATTTGTGATAGGACAGTAACAGCAGTCGTAGCCTAGTTCAACACCGTGAACAACTTGAACTGATTCGCAATTAACCCATTCTACATATTGGATTGAAATTATTCATGGCTATATACGATGATGTATACTGATCATAATCTGACGGAATTGGCATTCTTTAACCGTAGATATTTACTATCGAGCAGTTTAAGCTGATCCTATTCCTTACTCAAGTCACTCATTTTTCTACGGTATAAGATAATTTCCTGTTATAGCAATGGACGAAGATAACAAAAAACAGTTATGCCTTATCGATGAAGGCATTAATAGCCTTCACGATCTGAAATTAGATCCTAAATTGACCATTTTAAATCTACATTGCAATCGTATAAAGCAGATCGAAAATCTACTCTTTCTACATCAATTATATCATCTGGATTTATCTTCCAATTCCATTACACAAATAGCCGGTCTAGATAGCTTAGTTTCATTGAGAATCTTAAATTTAGCTTGCAATAAAATTAAAGTTGTGGAAAACTTACAAAATCTAAGGTTTGATATAGTATATTCATTTCTTCATCACCAAGATAATACTTTCACGTTAAAATTGCAAACTATATTCATCTTTTCCTTTTATCACAGGTTATTAACCAAGCTAAATCTAGCATATAACGAAATTGACGATGTTTCTGGTTTTCAAGACATGGCTGGTCCAGATTATCGAATCTCTCATATTGATTTACGCGCCAACTTTATACGCAATCTGTCTCATTTAATTAACTGTATCAGTAATCTCTCCAATATCAGAGAACTGCAATTTCAACATGGATCCGAAGAATTATCCGACAATCCGATGTGTAAACAAGATGGGTATAGGGAAAAAATATTTCAAGCATTACAACCGTTAGAAATTTTAGATGGTTTCGATAGAAGTGGTAAATTAGCTGCAGAATTCGATAATAAAGACGTTCCAGGTACGTAATTCTTAATTCTTCCCTTCCGTCTTCCACCGTAGATCACAAGATATTGAAGAATTAAATTAAAATGTTAGCTGCAATACAATATGCTTTATCCAAACTTAGATACTAGCAATGTCCAGCATATTGAGACCGTACATTCAACTAACTCTAAGATATGTTAGTCTATCATGCGAATGTTGTAGTCGTACGTACGCGTACTATATGATCATGATTTTTGCTTTCTTGCTGTCGCTAGTATGACTACGAAGAGATCTCCACATGTATCGTTTTACAAAAAAACTTTCTTGTTACTACCTTAATTTCATTGCTATGAATCTTTAATCCTTTTAAATCATTGTTAAAGGTGTTGAGGAGTATCTAGAATATTTAATGTCGACCAGTTCATCAAGTTCGGTCAAGGTAATCAATTAATTAAACTACTTTAAAAGAAGTTCTCTATGTGAACTATTTGCAAAGCCACTTACAGTGATCGCTTGTTGGTTATATATAATTATCTATAGTACTGTAGAATCCATAAAATACAACTTGCTTTTATATGCGTATGTTCATAGGAAGCTGCCTTCCAAGTTAAAACGCCTAAAATTAATGCTGCCATCGACAAATTCTACCAACGAGGCACCAAATTAATCTCAGAAGTAGAAGACAATAAAGTAAGTGTAAGATCATGTACTCGTACCATGTACGCCTTATATCTAATCACTAATGCTGCGACTTACTTCTTTCATTAATAGTTTCAAAAGGAATATGATCTAAATGAAGATACTGACGGAATCGATGATCAATTACCTCCGGCGATGAAGCCTCTAATTGTTATTAAAGTAAGGGTACAATTGAAATAATTAATACTTAGGCAAGCAATATAGTGAAGCAATCTCCCTTGCTATTCAATCGGTAGCTACAGCTTAGTTTGCTCAATCCGTGATTAATAACACCTTTAATTTATTGCAGAATGAGAAAAAATCAATTATCTCAAAAACTATTCGTAAAAGTAGTGAAAATACAGCTGAAAGTACAGATGAAAATTATGCTAAATATTGGAGTCTTCAAACAACTAGTGCAAGCGATGATCGGCGCAATAACCTTCAAAGAGGTGGAGTTCCCAAAGCGGACCCGACATATCTTTCTACGAGCTTTGCTTCCTTATTTATTATTGCTAATTCACGTAGTTTAGTCACTCTGCAATGAGACACTACCGTATTTTATTTGATCGTCTCATTGATTGGGCGTATCCATATTGAGATTTTTCTATCTTTAATGAGCTAATCTCAATATAAAAGTTTAATGATTTTACTTGCGAAATTGCCGCAGTTTAGTATCAATCCCTGTACCACTAGTATCAAATTGCACATATCATTTTTGGTCTCTTTCGTTACTGATTTCGCATTCTAACTTCGTACTACTCTACATAGAGACAAGTAGCAAAGAAAATATCGAAAGTGATCATGAAAAATTTAATCGCCATATGGAGAAGAAAAAACCTTCACTAAAGAAATCTAATCTAAGAAAAACTAAATCTGAGCGACTTCGACGACCTCAACCGCTCAAAATGAATATTGTCCATCTCGGAGATAATCGTGACTCAATTGATAAGGAAGGTAGCATTCCCGCAAACATTGTAAGTAATTTCTTGGCTTTATTTAGATAACATGCTAGATATTATAGTCTAATGCAGTATCTACAGTGTCGTTTTGGTCTGCTAATTCATTTATCTCTAACGTGTCATGAATAACTCCGACACTACAATATTCTAGACAATTTTAAAAGAATTGGACGCAGAAAAAGAGCGTAGATGGAAAGCCGAAATGGCAGCCAGAAAATTAGTGGACCACATCCAAAATCTGCAGAGAAAATGTATGTCTGAACGAATTTCCTGAACTTACGATTAAGCGTACAATATCTCTAGTGCTACTGTGCATACTGTACAATGTACAGTACAATACATTAGTGACCCTAAAGTACATCATTTTTAGAGCACAAGACTCTGTTGTAACTATTATCGGAACTATTTTGTTTGTAATTTTGTAATCGTAGCACATTCTAAGCAAGTTTCCGTTAACTTTCAGTATCTGCTAGTGAGAAAACTCGCTATCTGGCCATTGACACATCCGCAAAACTTCAGCGAATTGTAGAAAAAGAACATAACGAGAAAATTGAAGAACAACAAAAACTTCTAGAACTGCAGGTTTGAATATTAAAGTAGAAGTCACGAATCAGCCATAATTATATATGTTACGGCTAAAGCCCGAACCCCAGTTATTATGCATTGTAATATCTAACTGCTATGATCATCTCAGAGATATGCTCACCTTTTTATTTAGTCAAATTTAGAACAAGTACAGCAACAATTGGAAGCCTGCAAAGCTAGTGAAGAAGATCGTAAAAGTGAAAAAGAAAGTATGGAAAAAGCGTATGCAAACTTAGAGATTAGTGCCAGAGAACAGTTTCTAGCTAAGGTAATTTTTGATTACATACTCGTACTGCTACTTTTATCTGACAACTCTAAAGACCAAATAGTTTGGCGTTACATACTTCATCGAAAATATTGTACATTAACAGTATGAATGTATATAATTCTATCATATTAGGATAAAGACATCAAGGTTTTGCAGGATAAAGTACGAGATATGAGCACATTGGTAGCGGAAGCTAATGCAGCAAAGGATAGTTATCAAAAAAAATATGCTGAATTAGAGAAAACAATAGTTGACCAAGCAGAAGAAAATAGGTATTTTATAGAATACGTCATCACTTAAGTAAGAAAATCAATTATAACATAAACAACGAAATAATCCTTTATAATTAATACACACGTACTTATGCGTGTACTTAACTACCCTAAAACGCCCTTAAGCCACTAATTCGGCCTAAAAACGACAATTTTAAAATAAACTAGGAAGCAAATGAGTAAGATGATTTCCAGGGATAGCTCAGAATTTCAAGAAGCCATTAATCGAGAAAGGGTTCACGAAAGGGAGCGCTTTGATATACTTGTGAATCAAATGCAAGAAAGGTATGAATACAAATACCCCTCCATCCATTAGGATTGCTACACCACATGGAAGATATGCATGTATCTTACTCTCTTGCTTAAATCCATTTCTTACTACCTTCATTTCTAACGTTAAAATTGCTAAAATAAATTCACGCCAACTCTTAAAAAGACTAAAAGAAAAGGATAGAGAAATTGCTGACCTTAATGAATGGATCAATAAAGCTGTCAGGCTAGATGCGGAAGAATATGACTCGGTAGGTATTTCATTTGATTTTTTATTAACTCTCAGACTTGTTCAAGATTTATGCTGAGTCTTAGTTGGATAATTCCTAACTTCTATAGAATATTAACGGCAGTAAAATATCTACTCTTTGCCTATTTGCAGTTGTCACTACAATTTGAACGTTGCGTAAGTGAACGTAATAGCTTAAAATTGGATTACGAAAAGAAAGCGGCTTCGGAAAATAGATTGAAATCATTACTATCAAGACTGGTTAAGGTAGTAGTTAATTAAATATTAATCGCTTTGTCTATTCCAACCATAAGTGCGAGTAGTCTACTAAATTGTACGGTACCGAATATCGCATAGATGACAGAAGAACAACGAACTCGATTAAACGAAGTAAAGCTACAAAATAGTGAACTGAAAAGACGAATGACTGTAAGGATGTAACGCACTAATAAATCACACAACGTATTCATTAATTTCTACCTTTTCCATATAGTTTTTCAGTACAAAATATTTCAACACTGTTATTGTAGGAGTGCGAGAAAAGATTTACTAGCCAAATTAATTTGACAACATTAATAGAGAAGAACTGCAAAGAGCTACAAGAGGTTTGCCAATTTGACTTCTTATAACTAACTGCGTTGGTATTTACGCATCTGTATATTTACCCTATTTATTTCACAACATTAGGATAATATGAAGCTAACAACGAAGGTTACTCGATTACGAGGTGAAAATGAAGGCCTCAAAAATGAGAATGAACGACTGCGCAACGAAGTCGCCGACAAAGGTCAGCTAACGCGTATGAAATACTTTAGCTAGTCTCTCTGTTATATGGGGTAAATTACCGTACTAAAGTTTAGAATCAACCGCACCATATTTATTCGAAATGATGGGCGCCATAGTTGTATCAAAAAAGAAAATATACCCAAAAGGCAGATATAGTACCAACATGCTTTGACAGATCATCATTAATCCGAACAAGCGGTAGTGAACATGCTTACTGTAACGGATATTGAGATTATACGTCTCAAAAAAGAAAATGTATCGGAAATACAGATATACTGTAGTATCATTATTGCTTTGATGGACCATCATTAATCCGAATAAACGGTTGTGATGTTATTTACTATAATGTATGTTAAGGCACACATATACTTTATACCGTACATTTTGTGGATTATACGTTGTATTCTAGACATATAAGAAATAATCTCGTAATTGACTAGCAATATGTACTATATTTCTACACTGGTTCTGTTTCGACAGGTCTGGCTAAAATTCACGATTATGCCATAATAAAACGTGAGGCAGAAATTTTAAAGGCAAATGCAGCAGATATTCCAAGGCATTATTGGTAAAGATAATCAGTTACAAGGATACTCTTATTAATTTACTTTGATTGAAGTACCTCGCGCGGATATCTGCAATTGGATGAAGACTACTACAGTCGCTTAATATGAATCGTATCTTTGTATACTACCATTAGGATTTAGAAGATAGTATCCGTATTAAAAATAAGATGCTCGATGATCAAAATTCAACAATACAGCAGCTAAAACAAGTAAGCGCGAAAATATAGATAACGATTGATTTAATTGCGCTCAATGATATTAATTTAAATTGCACTAAAATGGGTTTAGGCAAAACTGAATTTAGAAGAGGAACTAGCCGATGTTATCCAAAAAGCTTCGGAAGTCGAAAAAGAGCTTACTTCACATATGAATAGAGACGATATTTATCAAGTAATAGGATAAACGACGTGATTGTCGACGTATAATACACAGATATTGACTATTTACGGTGGTATTAGAATTGAAGAGAATAGATTTATAACGCACTTTAAATATTAACTATCCATGAATGCCAATTATAAAAGGTAAACTGCTGCAATAAAGTTATCCATACGCTGCGTTTTATCTCTTTAGGAAGAAATAGAAGCGGGGCGTGACAAAATTGCAGAATTGGAAAACCAATTGGAAGATTACAAGTATAAATTCAAGACATGTAGGGATAAAAACGGGTAAGTAAATGATAATATTTAAAGGATACGATGTCATATCCCATCCATACGTTATTTCATTTTCAAAACTATTGATCATCAATTTCCGAATTCTTATTTTACTGGCTTTATATAACAGTCAGTATTGTACTGCAGTGTCATTATAGAAAGTTGTCCATTCTGAGACTAAATATAATTCGTTATTAATGGTCTCTGTAGCGTACATCATTAAAGATAGGGGTGTATCATACTAACCGCATTAGTAATTGTAATCACATACGTTTAATTAATTAGTGAACTACAAACCAGAATTGATGAGCTGCTCAAAGTAGGAGAGGAAGCTAAGGAAAGAATACAGAAAGCGGCTGATAAGATGAAACAGATGGAAATAGAGAAAAGTCAAGCCATAAAAGAAAGCCAGTAAGACGAAGACGTATATATTTATACACATTGATGCCTAGTCATCTCCAATATTATTACAATAACGGAGTTGCTTACAGATTCAGTCGGCAGTATTTGAATAGCTTTGTAATTAATAATGCTTTATAGCTAATAAATGACTTTTGCACGCAGCCCTAACGTATGCGTCGATTAATGTTTCATGTATACATAGGAGATCTACACAATTGCAAACTAAATTGGATTCAGAATTTCGAAAGCAATTGCATTCGCAAAGTCAATGTTATGAAGAGCAACTGGAAGTGCTGCGTCACGAAAGAGATGTGTACATAGCAAACGCCAATAGAAAGGTACTGTAATGTCCAATGTAAAAGTAAAAAATTATAAAAACCAATTACATACAGTATGTTTTATAGTAGAAAAAATAAAAAAATTACTAATCATGTATATAATTCGTGTTGCAGTACTGTAGTAATAATTAATTACGCTTTAAATAGGAAGGCAAGATACTGTAGTTACGTTTATATTAATGAAATCGACGACTATAATACCCCTATTTAGGTAGAGGAAGTAGAGAACGAAATGCGTGCTTTGTTACAGGAACGGATAACAATAAATCAGAAATACAGCGAAATAGAAGATCAGTTGACAAAGATGACTACTGCCTTTGTAGATTTAAAGAATCTGGCGAAGACATGACAAGGCTAATATTATTCGTTTGATACGTAAAATTGCGAAAAAATATACAATATTACGTTATACATACATGTAACGTACATCATGATCTTTATAATGGCAAATCAATATTTTCGTGCTATGGATATGTAAAAATGTATATATATGTTGTATAAAAACTCCTTTAAATATTGTACAACCTGCACTCAGGTCTTAATTTTTACATTTATACATATACAGCATTATTTAAGTAGTCAATACCAATGACGTGTGATATTATACGAATTAAAGATACCATATCCTTAATTCTCCTATTTCAACTGATACGCTCCAGTTGTAGATAAATTATTTCATAGTGCAGCAAACTCTATTTTCGTCCAAGTTATTTTTTACATGCTAGACTCGACCACGCTATTGATTTCAAAAGAAGTTTCTGCTAGGAATACGGTCTGCGTGTGTTCTATAATTAATTAATTTACATCGTTCTCATTTATTTATTAATGTACTATACTCTATGGGAGGTCATCCCATTGATCAAAAACTTTTTGCTGCAGACTATATTGTGGAGTTGCTACAGAATCTGTAAATAAATTTGCAAACTGACTATGGCAGCGTAGTACCATGGCATAATAGTTCATGATAGTATTGTATCTTACTTTCCTCTACTAAAATTGTACGAATTTATTGTAACTGAAACCCTTCCTACATTTGTGTTTATTTGATATGCCTTTTTTACTACTGTATTCAAAGTATTTTATTTACTTATTTATTTATTTATAGTAATATCGTATTTGAGTACAAAATCAGAGACCCTACTGACTACTGTACTAGATTTACCAAGTAGTGGACGCTGTAGATAGCATAAAATAGACTACCGTATCGTCAAAGACTTTTACGAGAAAATTCGAGACTGGAAGTAGCTTTTCAGTCCAGTACAACAAATGTGCAATCGATCGTGCTACCTACCGCCAGCATCCATGCAGTACGGTAACTACAAGTTGTTCTATCTCGTTGGTAATCTCTGGAAAGACAGCGACATAAATAGAGGCAGTTTTTTGAGCTTTTGTCACACGTAAATTATGATTATCGATTTCATTCTACTTTACGGCGAAATTAACCAAATCTGTTGCATGCCAGGCATTTTGTTTCAGTTTTTAGCTAAACAGAAACGAAGCTGCGGACAGTGCAAACTCTTTTTATTACTTGATATGACTGTGACAATCCTGCAGAGATCTACTATGATTCTGTAGTGCTGAGCAAACCTGAAACGTAGACATGTACAGTATATTTACTGATTCATACAGTGATAGATTCGTATGCTCTAGTTGGGCTAGGGCTAAATCGTCGAGGGTTATGCTCTATTAAGAGTCAACTAACTACTTGACATAACGCTTTTTATCATGACGCGGTTGTAAAGAATCTTGTAATATCGCCTTTCACCTATGTGAAAGTTTAGTACTGTACATTAAGTCATACTTTAGCCAGAATTCATCGCAATGATAGCCAGTGTCGACATCGCACGTGCTATACAAATGCATAAATTCTAGCATCAAAATTAAACAACATATTAACCACCTACGGGCGATTGTAAATTTACACAAATGTTTTATAAAATATGTTCTTGAACTTACTCGTAGTATCTAAATCTTATTGAATAGATCAAGAGGTTACTTTGGCGATTGTCAAATTCGACAATGTAACAATGGACAAAATACCATTAGAAGAATCAGAATTGCATATGGTCGTAAAATTCCTTGTTGGCTACGAAATGCATATTAAGCTTCGTCAAGACTACCAAATTGGTGGTACAGAAAGTAGCTGTGAACTATACATTGGCTCAGTATACAATGATAACTCTTCTTCTGCAAATATTACGGTTTGCGATACCAAGGTGAGTGTATAAATTATTTGATCAGAAACACATTACAGCTCTTAACTTGGGGATTACATACATCGTAGGAGGCGACAGGGACAATCTATTCAAGAAATGAAAAACTAATCATTGAGCCATTGGCAGAGAAAGGATCGCCACCGTTTGATTCCTATAAAGTTCACACATTAATAGTTATAAACTCGTCCATACCAAACCTATATCGTAAGCATCGATGCATACATCACTAGTATTAATTTTACTTTGCCTTGTGTATTTCCGTGTCTTAACTTTATCCTCAGCTATTAAAAGTTGTTTTAAACGTTTACTCAGGAAGCGAATACTTGTGGTCTCCAATGGCGTTCATAAATAACAGAAAAAAAAGAGCAGCTACTTCAACTTCTAATGATTTAACTTTGGAGACGTTAGTTGTAGTAGATCACTCTTTACATACAAAGCTTAAAGCGGTTGTCCCAGATATTGAACAGTTTGTAACGACCTTGATGAGTATTGTAAGTACTGAAATTATTTCGAAAAACTTCATATCTTTCTATGTATTGAGCCATTACTGATATTTTATTTCCCTAGGCAAATGACTTTTATCATCACAAATCTCTCGGAAGCAGGATTAATATTGCAGTCACGAAAATCGTCATTATGAGTGAAGCTGACCAAGTATGCATCTAAATAAACTTTCATTTTTGGTTAAAATTTGTACATGTCTACAAGATTTTATTTATTTTCAATGGCTATAGAGAGCAATGGGACAAAACATGCTTGCTCAGCTTCAGCTGTATTACTTCAGTCAGTGGCAATACCAGCATTACCCTGATTGCGATCATGCTGTGTTGTTAACTGGGTAAGGAGATTCTTGATATGATAACCGAACAAAATTTTTGCTGTATGACATAACTGAAGTTATCTTTACTCTTTTTATTTTTTACAGTTTATCGCTAAAAGGAAACAATTATGAGTCTATAGTTGGTAAGATCAATAGTAAAGATTTTTATCGCAGGATTCATTTACGTTTTGATAATCCATAATTTATTTTGCAGGATCTGCATGGAGCGGAACTATGTGTGAAAGAATGTTTAGTAACTCTATAGTTGAAGTTGTCAGTTTATTATCTGGAATTACGATTGCACATGAAATAGGACACAGGTCGCCTAAAATCGCTTGATTCTGCTAGTCTATTTTGTATTATTATACTACATCGCATGCGTTTATCATAATTATATGTTCTGCTAAACAGTTTCGACTTAAGACATGATGAAGACTATGGGACTCGATGTAGTGGCCGCAGTTATGTAATGTCCAAACAATTTACTTTGAATGGAGAATTAACTTGGTCGCGTTGTAGTGCGTCAAAACTGAAGGAATTTCTAAAGTAAGGTGTTCTCTTTTGTAATCAACTGAAAGGGATTGTTAACCTAGGATCTTGATCTTGTAATAGCTCGCCTTATAGGTCGCGCTGTCTACATAACAAACAAAGTCGTGATTCTACCCCCTCCAGCTCGTTAGCTCAGCCAGGACAGTTATTTGACGTTGCTGCTCAGTGCAAAATTCGTCATGGACCCACAGCGACTCCATGCGATGACATCAATGCAGCTGCGGTAATTTATATTATTGGCATAGTTATCTTCTAAAGATATGATTTATATCAGTTGTAATTTTTCGAATTCATGTTTCAGGTTTGTTCTCGGTTGTGGTGTCGAGTCAATGGTCGGTGTACAACAGATAATTTCCCGCTAGTTGATGGAACAAGTTGTGGTTTAGACCGAGTAAGTTTTTTGAAGTAGCCTCTTTTCATATCTACGAACTAGGTTAACAATTTGAAAATTATACATACATAGTGGTGTCGAAACGGAAAATGTTCCGAAAAGAGTTCTGCTACATCATCACTTGGCAAATGGAGTGCATACTCGGATTTTAGCGCATGTAGTAGATCCTGTGGAGGTGGTATACAATATCGTCAGAGGTTTTGCGTATCTCCGTAAGTAATGACTTTATTAAAGTAATACATTGGAAACTAAATTTTAATAAGAAATGCACGATTGATTAGGTCTGGCGACGCTATTTGCAACGGCAAAAATAAAGACTTTCGAATTTGCAATATTCAGGTAGAAATACGAATAATCGTTTTGTAGTTTAACCTGAATATACCAGGTCAACAGGTATCCTAAATCATACATCTGTTTTGGACTCACAGTCTTGCCCGTCTAACGCTAAATCCTATCGGGATTGGCACTGCCAGATGCTTGGTTTTAGCAAAGCTTACTTAAATCATTATTATGGCAAACATGGTAAGTTGAATTCGTATTATTCTGCCCAGTTCAGAGGCACAGAATGTTTTACAGATGAATTTCCACAATTTTTCCATTTATAGTGGAATCAACTTGCGACTTACTTTGCTCGTATCAATTCGGACGGTTAAGTGTTGTGAAGAATGTTTCTAAAGTTGTAGACGGTATACGATGTGGAAAATCTTCAGTGTGCTTTAAAGGAGTTTGCTCGGTAATTTAACCTAATGGAAAGTGAGTTTATTGTGACTAGCGTAAATTATTACTGATATTAAATCCATGATGACTGTACAGTCACTAGGTTGTGATGGCATTGTAAACTCTGGGGCAAAGTTAGATCGGTGTGGCGTTTGCAATGGAGAGAATGAATCGTGTAAAGTAATACAACAAGAATTAGTGACCTACGGTAGATATTTAATGATACCTCCTTCCGATCCGTTATGAAAATATCAAAGTGTTTAAACTTTTAAATTTTAAAAATTTTAGATTACGAACAAGTACAATTTCCTCGGGGCGCTCGAAGCATCCTTATTACTGAAAGATTCAGAAACCAAAATGAAGAACTTCGTAAGTTATGTTACTATTAAAACTAATATTTTTGTTCTTGTCCTGCTTATCAATATTTTTGATCGTACGAAATTTAGGATTGAAAAATAGAAATGGTCAATCAGTTGTTATTAATCCTAGAAATCAAAATGATTCCTATTACTTTGGAGGAACGGAATTTTTTTCAATGTTTGTAAATGGCCTTGGACGTATACAAGCCAATGGTCCTATCAAAGAAGATATTTTCCTGCAAGTAGGTTCTTGAAGCAAATGAGTTGTTTGATGATGTAAATGTTGAGTATGAGAAAGTATCTATAATTTTTTTAGAGTCGTAGTCATCTTCAGTTGATGCTCGAGTACAAAATAAGCAGAAAAGAATTTGCTTCGTTGAGCTCTTACGGCTGGATAGCTTTCGAGACAAAGTGCAGTGCTGTTTGTGGAGGAGGTATGGATACTTATTTGAATTCATAATTTCATGTATATTAAAAATGTCTCCATTCGATAGGATCGAAAATTCGTTACGCAAAGTGCGGCACTATTAGCTCTAACGGTAGTAGAGTTTTTGTGCCGGAATATGTTTGCGGTACAGCCGTAAAACCGAAAAATATAACGTTGTCATGCAACAGTCAACCTTGCCCTACAAGGTTAGTCGGATATTCTAATTTCAAACTTGGGTATATTAATGATTTCAGCTTTGATTCTACCTTTAGACCCCAGTTTACATTCAAGTGGCGCGTATATGTTAATCCGTGCAGCAAATCGTGTGGTTCGGGTAAAGAATATACTGTATATAGAGGCTTTCCATCAATAACAGATATTTGATTGTTCTGATAATGGTTACCTTACTTCGATTTAGGAACTCAAATCATAACGTATAAATGTTTTAAAGTGGAAACTGATCAAATGGTATCTGATAGCCATTGCAATGGCGTGGTTAAGCCTTTTTCGTATATTCGTAGATGTAATACGAAATCTTGTGCTGTCCAAGCAAAGTAAGTATATGAACTTGAGTTGGGGGATATTTCAAGTATTAAGTTTCCAGAATAGCTTTTTAAAGTTGAATCTCGTGCGTTACAGATGGAAAGCCGGCAAATGGAGCAGTTGCAGTAAAAGTTGCGGTGGTGGTATAAAATATCGCAGCATAGCTTGTATCGATAACCAAAGCGGCCACATAATTCACCCAAGCAAATGTTCTCCACACGACGTCCCTGCTTCGTCTTCCAGTTGCAATAATCAGAAGTGCCTGATAGGAAAATGGAAGGTCCATTCTTGGGCAAAGGTGGAAATGTCATAGACTAAAAATTTCGTTTTTGTTGACCTTATTAACTTCGATTTTTACCCTAATTTTTTTAAATTATTGTATTGTAGTGCAAAACGACTAACCAAGGATGTGCTCAAACTCGCCAACTCTACTGTTACAATCCTCAAAATCATGAAGAATTACGATTTACAGACTGTGATAATTCCATTCGTCCTGAACGTATTCGTTTATGTCAGCCGATGGCTTGTGGTTAATTCCTGTAATGGCAAATATTGCGGCTGTAAAATGAATCATTATTACCGCTAAATTACGATTTCGGATGTAATTTTTAGAAATTAGAATTTTGATGATTAGCAGATTTATATATACCTATATATATTAGAATAACTGTATTACCTTGAATTTGTAATGTATACGAGTTTAGCGGACGAAATTTAAACTAGAAGTAATACACTTACTTTGTATTAGTGATATTTTAGTCATTTTATAAAAAAAGATACGTTTCGTTCCTATCCTATTGATGTTATAAAAGAGTATACGGAAATGCGACATGGTTTTAAAATACGTAACACATTCATGTCGCCAATGTTATTTAGCACTATTGCTCTGTTACGTTAAACTTACTACAAGTACATTTTATCGCTGAACTTGTTTTATTAATCGTCTGTTTTTCGCTATTAGTGAGCATCTTCTATCGAGCTATTTCTTAAAGATTTACAGAAATTGTAAACATTTCACTGTACTAACGGTATTGTACTACAATTGTAAATTTGGGGGATACTAAAATTGATTTGTAAAAGGCACTATAGTCAGTCAGTACCTGCATATTTTTGTAACTTCTACATCAAGCAAGTGAACCATTAGAAAGTGTTGTAGTGTTTTATTATCAACAGAACTTTGACTAAACTAACTGCAGGTACGTGATAAACATCTTTCTTCATGATTTTGTAGTTAATTTTTAATTAGCTCAGTATAATTATGAGTAACGGTAATGTAATTTGATAGCCGTAACCGCATCTTGTCAGTAAAATCTCGTAAGTGATGTGATGTCAATATCACAAGTTGAATAAATCATATCATCCATGCCTTGATTCATCTTGTACTCTGCGTAATAAGTATTTGATACATTTGAACAGACTTAACAGAATAGTAGTTGTTACGATGGTTGTCCAAGTGTTTTACCTCCCTAGACGAAGGGCGATGAAGTTCAGTAGTGAAATCGGAATTATGAATACGATTATATATTGTAGCTCAATGAAGGGCTTGCATTCGTTCATGATTCAGCATAGCCCTATGGATTGCTAAATTATCGCTATTATTATCATCCATGATAGCATACACTGCATTGCACTGTAAATATCTTAATTTCTTTGTATGGTGTTCCACTGCTCATGCTATGCCACAGTGAGCCAACATATCATCAAAACACTTTGTAAAGATTTTGAAATTTACAGTTAATAATTTTAAGTAAATTTATAATCTTTGTGTTCACCTGACTAATGAAATAAGTAAATGCTCTTATACAGTGCAAATATCTATTCAATAATCATCCCCTATAAAATCAAGTTACAAGTTATGCTGTAACTGTTTCTAGTGAATCAATATCGTTGACGACTATGACTATGCATGCACAGCACATGTTGCAGGTGTTGTACCAAAATTTGTAGTCATAACATAGACATAGACATACTCTATGCGTACAGAAATAGCACTTCTCTTTCGTTGAACTAATTTTAAGCGAGACATATCAGTTAATATATCTCACTCGATTAATAGAGTCCAGTTGTTATTGAATGGATTTATTTGTCGGTATTTGCATTACCTAAGTTTTAGATATACTTCTATGGGTTAATAATCACTATTTCAGGGATATTTGGACGTATATAAGCGCCGTTAATTATTGAATATTGGTTACTTTTATTAGAGTCAGGCAAACACAGTTTATATCCAAATCTTTAATTTTAGTAACTTGGCAAAATGATTGACCATGTTTTGACAAGTTGGAGGACTATCGTAAGCATTGGTAACATGGTGCTGCTGAGACCTTCAAGATAGACTAGTGATGGTACTGTACTGTACACCGAGTGTACCGTATTGTATGAAAGTAAGTGACTGTGAGTACTGTACAGCCTGACACATCGTGCTGTAGCGACCTGCAACTGTCATCTCCATGATAACAATGGTTACCACTGACTAGTGACTGATTCGTACAGTTCGACACAGTGAAGAGTACGTTGGCAGTATGCAGCAGCAAGTCAGTAACATCAGTCCTTACTGCCAACTCGATCCTAAGAAATCAATATTTCACTGAACATTTCTGGCAAATTGCTGAAAAGCTCTTGCTGAAAGTACAAATTCAATCCCTGTAAGTATCTTCAATTTAGGTGCGCAATATATTAGAGTCTACGAAAGAAATTGCCTATAAAATAGATTGAAATAAAGAACTACTAGTTGCGTGCAAGGAAGAACTATCAAAATAATGAAGTACTGTACTGTACTGTAAAGCAATGAATCATGGAGAGATGACCTCGTGTCATGGTGATCAAATCGATAGTCATGGACTTTACTGCCTATGTAAATTGATCGCAACGAATTAGAATTCCCTTTTTAACCGGCCATGCAGTCATGACTAGTCGTTAGGTAACTTTCTATACGAATTTTTCTGTCATTGGGGCAGGCGGTAATAGGACTAACTACCGTATGTTGTCAGTACAGTAGTTTGACGATCTAACAGAGCGAACGAATATAAATCGTGATTCATCCGTACTGTACGAATGTCAAATTTTCCACTACTGAAAGTGTAAACTTGCATAAACGAGGTTAAATACTACCCAGTATGAGCTAATAGGTGGAGGATCGAAGAATCTATGACGATCGTATACAACTACTAATTGTACATAGAATTTAGTTCATTTATAGGTACAATTTGCTGTCAAGGCAGAGCATAACCAGTTATGCTTCAGTAATTAACAATCTTGTTTGTACTCCTTTCTGATAGTAGTCTCTTTCTGAAAAAGTAATCCTGCATAGACCTAAAATGCCCAGGCACAAGGTATGTAATAGGTATATTTAACGTAATCATTTACATTTACAAATATGATATACTTGCAGCTTTTGAGGAATCATGGTTCAAAGTCTTGTTACGTTATAGATCATAGCTATGATGTATGACTCTTGTACACAATTAATGAATTTATTGCAGAGAAAAGCGCATAAAAACGACCGCAGGAGAGATAATAGAGGCCAGCATTTTGAAGCCATAGTGAAAGAAAATGAAAAATTTTTAAGTTACTATACGGTAATTGCATGATTAAGATAATTATTCAATTATAGATTCTAACCTTCGTCAACAATCATCCAGCACGAATGGACCGTAAATTCTTTGCGTACCCTGCTGCAATACAGTGCAGTAATGTTAATATTTTTATCCATCTTTTATAAATTTTACGCTGGATACAATTAACAGACATTGAAGTTAATAAATGAAGATGATACTCCCGCTTTCCTGGCTACTCTACGGGAGCCATTGCCAGCAACTTTTAGAATAACTGGAACAAGAAAGTATGCTATGTATAGTATGCCATCGTTTATTGGATGTTATACTATAGACTAATAAATGGTATTGTTCTTATATTGCTTAACAGTCATGCTAAGGAATTGCTGCAATGTGTACGAACACATTATTTCGATAAAATGGAAGGCACCATGATTGAAGACAAGGCAATTCTTCCTCCACAACCAATACCTTGGTATTATTATCAGCCTATACTTCATTCTATCGAAAAGAAATTAGCATTAATATTACTACCGATACTGTAATATATTTATTTCCATAGTAGTGCTGCCCGTTATATCAAAATGAATAAGAGATTTACTTATATATGTCTGACATATACTTTCTTTCTTTAATTTTTCTAGGTATCCTGATGAATTAGCATGGCAGATAAATTTAACTAAAAGCACTATTAAAACATCGAAGGAAATGATGAAATTAAAAAAACTACTAGTAGATGAAACTGCATTGGTTAGTCGTGATTCTAATTTCTCACATAGCGGTTTTTCTACGAATGTTGATCACGATTATTATTTTCGCTTAGTATCGAGTTAACTACTGTTTACAATCCTTACAGGCATAAGTTTTATGTTTAAAAGTCTAAATCTGTATCAAAACAATCTCATACTGTAACTTCATAATCCAAAATCTTAACATTTTAACCGATTTATAGGGCAATTTTAGTAGACAAGAAGCTGTCAGTATGATTCCTCCTTTGCTTTTGGATGTACAACCCCATCATTATGTATTGACTATTACAATATAATAATTTAGTTAGCACTTATATATATATATATATGTTTAAATAGATCTCAACTCTTCTGTTCTATACTGTATCTGCTATTCATAGATTTTAATATTGCTGTATCCTAGGTCCTTGACATGTGCGCCGCACCAGGATCTAAAACTGCTCAGCTAATAGAATTCTTGCATCAAGACTCAAGCAAAATTATTCCTGGTAAGCACTATACTGTATTGTTAATCTTATGTACTACATACTGCATTGCATAACTTCCAAAGGATTACCAGCAAAAATTCATTTTATACAACCATAGATGGATTAATTATAGCCAACGATGCTGATAATAAGCGATGTTATATGCTGGTCCACCAAAGCAAGCGATTAAATAGTCCATGCTTTATGATCACAAATTATGATGCGTCAACGATGCCAAACATCTACATATCGAAGGTAACTAACATGAATTATTTACTTCCTGCCATCTACTATTAGACTGACATTTTTATACTGCTGAGGTCAGGATGGTATCAGTAAAAACATCCCGATAGTGTATGATAGAATATTATGCGACGTGCCCTGCAGGTTGGTACATTTATTCGATAAGGCATAGTATACATACAATGTGCATAGCGAGAACCGTGCAATTAAATTATGCAATCCAATCGTTAGCGGTGACGGTACTCTACGAAAAAATATCATGTTATGGAAACGCTGGAATCAAAATAACGCTTTAAGTCTCCACTGGTAAGTAAAGACGTAGTCAATAGTGTATTATAACTAATAGAAGATTACGTAATTCTTGATATTAATCAACAACATTGTTTTATGACTATATTAATAGTCTACAACTTAGGATCCTAATAAGAGGAGTAGAGTTATTAGCTCGTGATGGTATCTTAGTTTACTCTACATGCTCGTTTAATCCAATAGAGAATGAAGCCATTATTGCAGCTCTTTTGAAGAAAGCTGGAGGTAATATACGACTGTGGTCATATCGTATACTTAAGCGATTCTATTATTACTATTAGCTTTTAAATTGTGCGTTTAGTGGTTGTTATTATTTTACTCTAGGCTCAATCAAACTAGTGGATGTATCTGATAAACTACCAGCTCTTAAAAGACGGAGTGGAATGAATACTTGGAAAGTAATCTTCTTGACTAATGATCATATTTCAACGTGGAATCGTTTTTCCCGATATTAAAATTACTCATTATCAATTTCTGTTAGGTTTTAAGTAAGCAAGGAAATTGGTATAACAATTTCAGTGATGTCCCAGTAAGTGATAGTGCAATGATCAAGCCTAGTATGTTTCCTCCGTCTGAAAGCGAAGCACAAGAAATGCATCTGGATAGATGGTAGAAAAACTGAGTCATTAATGATCTTTTCGATCTCAAGAATGTTAGTTAATATATGATTTTAATTTTATAAGCTTAAGAATCCTCCCACAAGATCAGAATACAGGCGGTTTCTTCGTTGCCGTACTGCAGAAAGTAGACCATTTGACATGGCTGTCAAAATCTAAATCAGTTCAGGTAGTACTGAAACTTTAAGGATTGAATGATTTAATTTCGAGCGATTTTATAATGGAGGTTGTAAAATTATAAGAGTAACGTCCAACCACATTCATGAGTAGGCCATTACTCAGATCCCAGAAGTGAAAAGTAAAACAGAGGACGTAACAGTAGATGATCCGGCAAAAAAGCAACCCCCACAAGGGATGACAAATAACTCCGAAGACGAAGCAAAAGAGTAAATATATATATTCGTATGATCGCTCCGCTAACTAGGATAGCAATCGCAGTCGGATCTCAAAGATTGCCAGTCTTAATGCATCACTTATGCTGTACAATCATCAGAATTTAATATTGTGATTTAATTTGTAGACCTCCGTCTAAGAAAGCGAAAGGTAATTTTAAAAATTCATTCAAAGAAGATCCTTACGTATTTATCTCTGAAGCCGACCCTATTTGGCCTGATATCAGGTTACAGCTTAAATTATTCACCTAGGATGTTCAGGCTAATATTCTAAATATTTTAATCAAAATTAAGCTACTCGTAATCAACCTCTGTTTTACTTTTTTATATTTATAAGAGTTACAACCATCATGTATCTCGCATTCTAATTGTGGTACCTTCTTAAATCACAGTTTATAATTAATTTTCTAACCACTACATTGCTTCCAATTTTATAGTCGTTTTATATTTGTCATTTATGCAATACACAACTAAAATTTTAATAATTTATACAGAGACTTTTATAAAATGGAACACCCCTTTCCGATAGACCTGGTATTTACCCGTACAAAGATCGGCAAGAAACGTACGTTGTACCTTGCGTCATCTGCTATCAAAAATATTTTAGAAAACAACGATACCCTCCGTGTAATGCTCAGCTGAAAATTTATGATTCATGACAAAGGAAATAAATAAATAAATATGAACTAACGTCTTTTATAAAAATTGCGTTGTTACCATGCAGGTTATTAATACTGGAGTAAAGATATTTAGTCGCAGTGAATCTCCGCATGTCCACTGCAGTTTTAGAATTAACCAGGAGGTACAATGCTTCTTCCTTTCATATGATCATTATTAATTACCTAAGGTGTAAATGTCATTGAGTTTTTTTGTATAGGGCATCGAATACATTTATCCTTATGTCCAACATCGCAAGATTTCTTTAACTAAAGAAGATGTGATCGTATTTTTAACCCAAAATAACCCATTAGATGTTAGATTTTCTCCAAGTACACATGGCCAGTTACTAAAAACAAGTATGAATTGTTTAGACCTATCACAGTTTTAGATTAATTGGACTGTTTAGTTTAAACTATATCGGCTGGTAATCTTTAACATGATATGTACTGTCTATTATAGGTCAAGGGTGTTGCTTATTTTCTTGCAATAGTAAAAATGAGTGAGTAAAATGATCTAAAATATGATCAGCTGATAAATCTAGAAATAGTTTTACGATTTCCACGAAGCTACTATTTTAGCGATAATTTTTAGTAATAATCAAGATTTTACTATCAATTGCGGCATTAGATCAGAGGATGCTACTGAAACTAATGGTTTCATAATATGTGGATGGAAAGGAAAATTTTCTGTAAGGCCTCTTATACCGAAACCTGATCATACTCATTATCTATTGTTATGCGGTGAAGTAGGATTGGCTAATGAACCAAATCAAGCTATTTTGGAAAGCTCGACAGAAGAAGCTGCTAATATTTCAGCTCTAACTGAAGTATCATCAGAATTAGATGAAATGGTGACTCCGGAAAGTTAATTCCTTTAATGAGTATCAACTATAATTTGGTTGCGCAATCTCTATCGATAGTGTCGTATGTATAAGCAATAAACTTCTATTCATTACATGTTATCTTGATAGCTTATGGAACTTTGACCTAATTCTAGAATTTGTATTTCAATTTACATTACGACATCACAATTCTCTCATCAAATTATGTAAAATTAGCGATGCTTTGATTTATGTTTGTGCTAGAAATGCATCATATCAATGACATCAATTCTGTAGCACATGCACAGTACTTCAATGCGGCAAATTCTAAAAATTTTTAGCATTACTAACACGAAATTGAAAGAATTTGTAAAATACTGTACTATATTTGCTTTTTTTACTAGATTGAAGCAATTTTTAAATCATTTATGGTTAAAAGAAGCATTTACGTAACAATGTGTATTCAATAGAAAATGTAACTATCATTGATAAATGATAAAAATATAAACTAGCGATTAAGTATGAACACCCGTAGAATCTACCAATATTGACACTTAAAAGGAAATAGGATGAGAGAGCTTCTACCTACTCATTGAAAAATCATTTCTGCTGATAAATATAAGTACGAAAGGTTTCAGTTAAATAGATTGAATTATTGATGAACGCATTTACGGAATTCTTGATTCTTAACCGATAATGTCGGTACATTAAATTGAACTGAACGACATCCTATAAATCTGTAAACACTGTTACGACGACAATGAGAGGTCTTTAAATCAACGATGTTCAGTTAATTCGGCTTCGTATAATGAATAACTTACTATTTCTATTCGAAAATATTCCTCTTTATTATAATATCAATACAGCGAATATTAGATCTAATGAGAAAAGACAAAAATTAATACTGACGAATATTTCAAATCCGAATGCCTATAATAAATCGTATAAAGTGAACAAGTATCCATTGAATGATGTTAATAAATGATGTAAATGCTGCTTTCCGTAGGATTGCATCACTTTTTAATCCTATTTACTACTATAACTATGAAAATCTGGACATTGATATCAACATAATTAAAATTCGTACGGCACTAATACTAAAGATTACATCCTGCGAAAAATATCTTTCATATGGCGTTAATAGCCAACATAAATACTTGCTACCATATAACCTATAAGCATTTCAGTAATCCTGTTTAATATCGTAATAAGTAAGCATTATTCTATGAATTTGTTATCCTATGTTTAAAGTAGCTGTGCATTTTTGGCAATCATAAACCGTAGCCTGTTTGACCGTCTTAATCGTAATTACATGCACCCAATACTACAAACAAGATGGAAAAATAAAGCTGTTGACGTTCCCATTTTGTCAACAATTATAACTATTTTAATACAGTATTGTCGAATACGTATCGATATAAATGAGTTACAAGGCTCCGTAGTTAAGATAATTTTAAACAAACGTGGTATTAGTAGATATCAAATATGAAATTATTTATGCTTGCATGCACCATAGCATCCGCTCTTAGTTCTATCATCGATATCAGACATATTTGCGAAGGTTGGCTACCTTAATCTAGTTATTTTTAAGTGTCCTAAATTGCAAGTTATGACATTTTCTATGGTTGTAGTCCCCAAATAGAAGTGTCAGCTATTCCTTTAGACGATTGTCACGGTAGGAACCACTGTGAAGAGTAAATGACTAAATTTAGTGGTAAACGTTTATACATGAACTAAATTTCATGAATTGTTATGATTCATGCATGATAGCTGCTGCCGAAGGGTATTTAAGCTCGGCAGATTGTTGAATAAAAGGAGTTCTATAGTTGTTTAACTTAGAAGCAAAGGCATCAAAATTTTAGTGAGGTAGTTGAGAGATACTGAATCCCAGAGATCATAGTAATTTAGAGATTCGTTTTACGTTAACTTTGTCACGAAGTTAGTTTGTGACAACGACTTGAAAGTTCTTCCAAAAAATTCTTATACCCATCTACTATTCCTGGTACCGTTTGGAAGACATACTGTAGATGGGCTATAAATCCAGTACTCTTGATTTTATTCGTTATACTTATGCTATGACGGTATAAACTCTACCCGACGTTATTAGTTATATTCATGTTATGATATTTACTGCTAATGTGATGACTAACGTCAGTCTTAATTGTCAAGATTTAGATATAGCTCCTTATTTAGTGTAATTACTTTAAATTAGCAACTTGTACTTGAATATAAGTACTTAAAAAGGGAGTATTTAAGGCTGTGTAAGCTAAGCACGAGCAGGAGGAAGGTTAGCGAAGAGTTATTGATTAGATCTGATCTCGTTACTCGTTGGTAACATATCGCTATTGATTTAGTTGTAGTACAGTTACTCGTTGATAACTTCTATTTTCTTGCTAACAAATTGAATATATTGTCGAATCTAAAGTCTGTTTGTTATTAACATTATTCATGACTAAAGCGAACCCTTTATTATGTTTTATCCTTACATTTAATATTCAGTTATAGAATCTATAGGGCAAATTCATTCATTAATGAAATGGCAACTATGCTGCGTCTCTTTTATCTTTTCATATAAGTAACGTAAATAATATCTTTGTAATCTTATTAGTTATAATTAATCTTGCAATTAAACTTAGAACTGAGAGACTGTATAATCAGTATATTCATTGCGTTTACAATAAATTTTAAGTTTCATCGTAAACAGACATCTGTTTTTTCTTATTGATATTTACTTTATTTGTAATACTGATTAAATCCTATTTAACCTTTCTATTAATATCAAGCGCTATAAAAAAAACATTTATCTTTACAGTCGCTGCATAACTATTGCCCCCCATTGATCATATTTTAGTTATGTTTTAGTTACAAAAGCAGTAACCAGGAAATAGTTTATACGAGCCTATTACTTACTTTTGCACATTATTCAATTTCCATTATCCCAGTTCATTGAACAGCAGCAAACTTCTAATAGGTAAATTTCATGATTTAGCAAAATATTTTTGCGTCAATATTAATTAAAAAAATGAAAATTTACTAATTCTATTTATTAACACGATCATAATGACCAATTAAATATTTTGATCAAATTTTCTCTTCTATAAATAAATCATGTATTACTCTTAAGCTAAAATCAATTACTAAAAGTAACCTTATTGCCTCTATATACAAAATAAAAACAATGCTACACCACATTATATATGCGGATAGTGTAATTAATGATTTCATTATAGCAATTTCTACAAAAAGCGACGGCAGATACAGAAGTATCTTTCTTTCAAATTACTAATAGAAGTATAAACACATTCAGAAATATTCACCTTCCTTTAACTAGCCGAATATGGTTCCGATCTGCTCATCCAGTACTAAAATCTAAGCTTACATTTTAATTAATTAAGCACTTATTATTCATCGATGCCCTTTTTTCAACATATGAAATTAACTGGATTCCTCATTTTAGTTCTACTTGCTAATTTTCCTGCAATTAATCTTGTATCACTTTTACATAGTCTAATCATAATTAGTTACTATACTTTAATGGAAGCAATTAATTTATAAGAAATATGTAAATCAAATATCAATAAAACATTTTGCGATATTACTTAAGGCTCAAATAGGCTCAGTCAAAAAGAATTCTAATCTGCTGGCCAAGCACTAAAAATCTAGACCCCTATTCGATCAATTAATACCGTTCGTGAGTTAGTTTTTTTGCTATATTCCTAATTGAAAAAAACAGCAACTACAAGATAAAATAGTATGTCAGTAATTTTAAACGATAGTATGATACAAAACTGAAAGCTCACCGACAGACAAATAGAATTATTGATGTTTATAATCTTGGAAAACGTAAATAAAACAATCGGCGATACAAAATGTAGGATAAAATCTAATTTAAACAGATATATATAACACCGTTAAACCCTTGTATAAAAAGTACACTAACTTCTTTTGCAACAAAGGCTTGAACATGTATCGTACACAATAAACTATTCCTGGATCGATAACATTCATTCAGGATAAACGATATTGAAGGTTCGCAATTCTACTATCATGCACTATTGTAATATTACAAATATCTAAATATGCCCGCAGGAAATAGAAATCTTGTCTATGACAGTCAGGAGTCATAATTTTTGACATATCTGAACTAGACATTGAAAATTCTCGAAAGTGAAAGCCTGCCTTGTAGAAATTTAACTTTAAACGTTGTAGTCTTGAAATAAGTCATTCTGATGAAGAAGAAAGAAATAACAAATGCTGTATGATACCCATGTCATAATAGCTTTAGATTAAGGCAACCATTGACGTATTATACTGTAGCTGCGTTAGATGAGCTCAATCATGTAGAATAAGCACAGCATCAGCTCTATACCTACCAGTATACCATAGAGAACTGAAAGAATGATTATGCTTTGAGATTAATCATCAATTATTAGATACTGTAGTATTCTATGTCAGTTTCTATTATAATTACAGACAATCGATTTTAAAAATCAAAAACTAATACGGAAGGTATACTTAACAAATAACGGTCCATTTGTTTATTTCTTAAAGCAACAACGTTTTGATTGAATAACAGTACAACAACCTAAATCTAAGATTATTACTATGCTATAGCAGTATGATAACCTATACAGCATCACGCTAGGTTGATGATGATCAATAATTAGTCAATCTTTATCAGGCTGAATTTCGCTGAGAATACGATCTCTTTAATTCTGTAAAGCGGTAAGCGTGATTGCTTTAATATGATGGAATGTCAAATAGTATTCGGTCAACGGGTATCTCGTATACCTGAATTAGCATAAAAAAATTCTCTATTGATTGGAATTCGCATTTCCAATGAACATCTAGTTTTCAGATTGTTCCTATAATTTAAACTATCATCTAACTTGTATCCCTACCAGTTTGTAATCCCATGGTAAATTATTCAACCGATCTAAAAATTTCGACAAGCACTTGTACCTATCCAAATCTATGAGAAGGTAATGGCTTGTTTCTCCTATTGTATTTTTGTCATCATAACTTAAAACTCGTACTCTTTAATCTTA